CTCCTGACCTGAGTGCAATATACATATCTACTTATATACAACATGACACATACAATGAACATACACATCAACAGAAAAATCTATCACAAGGAACAAAAGATTGTTAAATATAAATGTATTATAAAATACCAGATTATCATTTGTATAAGCAACAATTGTTTCTGCATAAATAAATATAAGTATTTTTTTTAAAATAAAAACAGCAGCAGTTTGATGAATAACAATACAAACGTTAAATATTTACATAACAAAGAGAATGTCTAAGGCAAGAAATATAAATATATTATAAATTATAGACCACGTAAAAATTACAACCGATTTGGGGGGGAAAAGCAGTGTAAAAAATGAACACCTTTTAAAAGAAATTAAGGATGGAAAAAAGTGAGAGGGAGATAGAATAGAGAGAGAGAGAGAAAGATAGAGATAGAGAGAGAGAGAAAGATAGAGATAGAGAGAGAGAGAGAGAGAAAAAATACTAAAAAGGCAGTGACAAACAGTATCTTTACAGGTGAAAAGTATAAATTCCATTGTGCTGGATTTTATCAGTCTCTCTGGAGAGCTGACTGCTGCCAGTTAAGGTGCTGCACAAATTCCATAGCTCCAGGAAAACCCTGGAATAAATGTTAGCACTTGAAAACCAGTAAACTGTTCAAAAATAAACCAGCCTTCTTCCTCTGCATTCACTCTTAAAAGGGTGGTTGCCATGTGGTGTTGTAGTTTACAGCCAGGGTGCTATATCTGATTTCACAAAATCCCTAATTAGTATCTTTTTACTGACTGTTTGTTGAGGGATTATGGAAATCAAGCTGCACGGACCACTGGAGGATATATTTTTCACCACAGCCATCTTAGAGGCCCATGCCATCTCATGTCAAAACCAACAGGGGTAGAATGAAAGAGGTCTTGAACCCGAGGATTTAGGGCCAAATGGCTGGTGAACACGCCACCAACCTTGCAGGTTTCGATTTTTTTTTCTTCTTCTGTCAACAGAAATGTCCATCACATTTCTGAGTATTCCAAGCTGGATCTCTTGAATTCCAGCGTTCATAACTCGTTGAGTCAAAGGGGGTTTAGCACCAGGGGTCCAATGGGGTTTAGCATCAGGGGCCCAAGGAGTCAGAGAGACGTAAAATTGGCGCATTTTGCATTCAGTGGGCTTCTAGGTAGGAATGTATGGTGCGTTCCTTGGGACTCAAAGAGTTAACCACTCAGCTCCAATACAATGTTTTTTAACCTTTTCAGTCCCAAGTAGTTTTGTATTCAACAAAAGCTTGGCTAAAGTGTCTGTACATTAGAGAAATAATTGTTTACTCTCACAGAGCTGCAAAATACAGTTTTAGGATAGAAGGAGTCATAGTAACAACTGGAAAACAGGGTTAAACAGAAGAATAGGATAAAAACAGAAAAGAAAAGTGTACCAGATATAGTGTAACCAATGAAAATATAGCACAATATATAGGTCTAGCCCTATATGCCTAATACCCCTGCAGGTGTGGAAAAAAGAGTCCTTTACTTTTCATGAAAGCATATTGTGTTCTTTTGTACTGAAAGAGTTCCTGCTGTTAATTCAGCTTCTTCCTGGGCACTCACTTGCATTCAAATCAGCTCTTTTTTTAATTAGATGTAATGCCTGTGTTAATAACAGGTGTTTTTGCATACTAACAAGTTGCCCAAACCATTTGAACTTATGCTTCTTAAGGTATTTGACACCAGCTGTTGTTCCCATTATCTGTTAAGAGTGTTTTGCATTTTGATACGGCCAAAACATTTCTCTTTTTATTATTCTTTTCATTAACTCTCTTCTAACTTACAACCAATATCACAAGCCAATTGTATAATTTATAAAAATCATATACTTTTTAAACAAAGTAATTAAAGTGTAACAAAGTCATTATAACAAACATCATCAATATATTAAATTATGATAAACTCAGATATGTTGTTTGTCCGTGCATGTATGCCTGATTCTCATATTTTAATAAAAGTTATTTACATGCATGGACTTTTCTAGACAAAAAGGGCTAGTATTTAACACATATAAAAACTGGTAGCATACATCACAAAGCATATTTTACAGTAGTGCTAAAAAAATGATGCCTAAAAAGAAGGTGCTGGTACTATGAACCGTTTGTTAGTAAACATTGTCATCCCCATGTGAGATGCAATTTTTTTGTTATTTAAAGCCCCACCCTGGCTTTGGCTGGGAGCCCTAAATATAGCCGGGCAATACATATGACCTAACGGCTGAACAGGGTTTCTGGCACCTCTCCACTGGTGATCCTCATCCGCATGGTGGCACTTTGTGTCACCGGGCGTTTATTGTTTTGTGTGATGTCCTGGTGGGGTACAACATACATACATAATATGAACCGTTTTGTAGTTAAAACTAAAACAAAAACCCACCCTTTTTGTACGTCCTCTTCAGGTTATCACAAATTTAGTATCTGTATCATTTCTGCCAACATCTGTTATTAAATGTCCAAGATAAGAGAAATTTGGCACTTAATTAATAAATCAGACTACTGACATACACATTTCATGAATGAATGTATCTTGTCAATGCCAAGTATGTTAAACTGACATATGATATGTATAGTAAGTGTTTCTGTAACGCTATTTTACTTCACTTCACAAATGTAATAGTTTGTAAGGCATTACTTCTTATACTTTAACAGAGCTCACACTCACATTAATATTATTTTGCTTCATACACTTCAAGTGAAGTGAAATAATGGAATGTGATAGCACCAATTTACCATTCATCAGTGAAATACTTTGTAGGGTTTTCGCAGTATTTCTTTAGCATACCTTACATTATTGCTCCTTTCTTCATAACATTATAATGAACTGAAATAATGGAATGTCACAGTACCAATTTATCATTAGTGAAATACTTTTGCAGGGTTTTCACCATATTTCTTTAGCATAACTTGCATTATTGCTCCTTTCTTCATAACATTATAATGAACTGAATTAATGGAATGTCACAGTACCAATTTATCATTAGTGAAAAACTTTGCATGGTTTTCACCATATTTCTTTAGCATACCTTGCATTAATGCTCCTTTGCGCCATCATATTATATTGATTTGAAAAAATGGAATGTCACTGAAATTTATACATGTCGTTGTAGATCATAATGAAATAAACTAAAAACGTCACAAACTTTAAATATCCAGGCTCCATAATGAACAGTAATGGAAAATGACTGTTCAGCAGAAGTTAAAAGGAGGAGGTCCAAAGCAATGAGAAGAATAAAAGTCAATATTTTAAGAGTATGTATTTTTCCTGTAGCAATATACCTGTCATGGACTATCCCACAATCATTAAGAAGACAGGTGCTTTTGAGCTGAGATGCCACAGAAGAATTATTACAATACCTTGCCCCTACGGTTAATGAAATAGTGACATCTTAAAAGATCTGAACACCAAGAAAAATTGGCTCGCAATCAGCATCTTGTCTTAGAAACTGAATTACTTTGGCCATATCAAGCACCATGGTGGATTGGGAAAAAAAAAGTAGTGAAGGGCTGCTGCACAAAACTGTTCTGGATGGCACACAGCCCTCAGGCATGGTGCATTAGCCTGCCAGGCAGTGGAGGTTGCACAGGCAGAGAATCGGAGGCAGACTAGAAAGAACTGTATTGCTAAATGTACACTTCCTGCGGCTTCCACCTGTTGACCGCACTGCTCAAAAACTTTCTGGGCTCATACTGGACTAATTAGCCACCTTCATACTCATAATCATTGATCATTACTACTTTGGATGAAAGTGGTCTTCATCACTCGTGATGGATGAACAACAACAGTGAAGGGCACAGAGTGGGTAAGAAGGGCAGGTGCTGACCAGCACAAAGATGGGCACAGGACACAAGAGACATCTTAGGCAGGAAAGTGTATGAGGCAGGAGAACTGGTGAGAGACCGATGTGCTTTCAGGCAGGCTGTGATAGGAGCACAGTTCTGTAAAGGATCTACTACATAAGGATGTTACATTATCATAAATGATGCCACTGCACATTAGGCATTCCCACACATGTTAAGTCCTCTTATGCAGCAGCCACTCTAAGGTTGCCATGAGGAGCTGGTTATAATTTCTCCTATCTTGGATTCGAAGGCGGCACAGACATACTTCACTGTGCTTTACTCCCATGTTACGCAACTGTGTTAGCGTCAGAGATTCGTCAATATCCACTGTTTTTCATCCATTACAAGTGATGATGCCCAGTCCTTTCATCCAATGGTGATTGGATTAGGTTTTGTGAGTGCGTAGATGGCTGACAAGGCCAATTCTAGCACCGAAAGTTCTTGAGCAATGTGGATAAGGAATTGAAGCCGCATACCTCTGGTGATTTGCTTCAGTGTCTTTCCTACTTGTCTTTTCTGAATTGCTGCTGCAATATCCACTAGCCAAGTCCATACAGTGTTGATGCTATCTGCTCTGTCTATGCTTCTTCCCACATGTGTTGGTGTGCTCCTGGTGAGCTGGTCCACTTGTTTGTTACCTTCCACACCAGCATGGCCAGGTGAGGTGCATAGATCCAGGTAAGGGAGGCCAAGCGTGACTTTCAAAAGACCACAACTTACAAGGAAGCATGATCTATCATGTCTAAAGTCAAAGCACTTATGATGAGAATGATGACGGTATCATTATGCACATTAATTAAATACAATTTTTGGTTCTTTTGTAATATCCTACCCCCAGATGATGTCACAGGACAGTTCAACATTTTAGAGGGTGGTAAGACTAGGTTTTCCGGCTTTCTGATGCTTTTAACGACCCCAAAACATCTAAAACTGGCCCTAACCTCAACCCACCTGCGTCCCATGACAGAGTGCAGCGTAGGTCCCACGACTACATGCAGCCTAGGTCCCAGGACTGCATGCAGCCAATCTACCACCCCCTGAAATATCAGACTGTCCCGTGACCTGTGGATTTTCCGTGTTTGGAGTAGGATATTAATAAAGCACCCAATTTTCAAATCAATGAAGTAAAAACTGTTATGCTGTTTTCAAGACTGGTTTATGTGGGAGCAGCCGAAGCACCAGTGATGAAAATCCAAACAGTAAAGTTGAAAACACCCATTTTACTGTTGTTGATGTCGCCATGCCTCGGTCACTGGGAAATAAACAAATAAATTTACCCACTAAAGAAGTAACTTCAAATAACTGTGCTGACAAAAGAATCTATCCCTGTATGGGTTCCACAGCCCTAACAAGTGTAGATTCTTTTCTCTTTTTCTTCATGCTATCTGGCTGTAAACTCCGGCAGAAAGTTCTGGTTGTTCATCCATCTTTGGACCTGAGTCTTGTTCCAGTACTTGAATTTTACGTGCTGATCCATTCGACAGATATGAGTTGTTGTTTTTTTAATGTAGAACCAGGTAGAAACACTGTGACTTCAAAGGACACATCCCTAATTAGTCGATTCTTACGACTTGATTGTTAGGAGGCAGAGGGTCTATTCTATTTTTACCTACAATGGGGCCTCAGAAACCCACACAGGAAGTCCATGGTATAAGTCTTGTACTACTGTGTACTGTAGACAGAACTACAGGAAATGATAGACATTGTGTTGGTAGAAAGTGGAAGAATGGATCTCAATTTGAATCATGGAAAGACAGAAGTAATGGTGGCATTACAGAAAATAATTATTCCTCAATGTGTAAAAAAAAAATCAACGGTGTTATTTTGGGACAAGTACTGAAATTTAAGTATCTGGGCACATGGATAACATCAGATGGAAGATGCATTACTGAGATAAGACACAAAATAGAACATGCAAAAACTGCAATTTATATAATAAAGAACATCTGTGTCTTTGAAGGTTAAAAAAAAGAATTCTTGCTTGCTACATACATTCAGTTTTGACATATAGCTGTGAGTCCTGAACAATCGGTAGGCAGGCTAAACAATTTCTTAAAGTTTCAGAGATGTGGTTTTACATAAGATGCTTAAAATACGTTGGACAGCCAAAAAGAGAAACCAAGAGGTTTTGAAAAAGGTGGGAGCCTGAAGAAAACTAATCACATACATCAGAAGGAGACAGTCATCATTTTTTGGCCGTGTTATGAGAAGAGAGAAAACAGAACATGTGATCACTGGAAAGATCTGTGAAAAGAGGGACAGAGGAAGACAACGAGAGAAGATCTTTAACAGTCTTGTTGCATGGCATGGAGGTGTGTCAGTACACGAACTGATAAATGCTGCAGGAGATCGTGGATTGTGGAAAGGCATGATCGCCCACGCCATTCGGCAAGGCACCTGATGATGATTATGATGACTACTGCCCACAAAGCACATGAACAAGCCCTAGAACTCGGGGACCATGAAACTGTTTAACACAATCACTAACCAGTAAGCCTTTAGGTCACAATTTGCAGTTATTAGTTTTTAAAAAGTTATGTGCCGTCTTCACAATAAAGGCTGACTGTCACTGTTATCTCTGGGAATGTTATGTGGTAGGGGCTGAGTCTCTTTCATGGTCATGAAAACAAAATACTGTTGCCAGCTTGATATGGAGAGTGATCTCCGTGATGCCTGGTTCAACATCAGACCAACAAAAAATAGCGGATATAATCAAGACAAAATGGTGTCAACCATCACACTGATATGTGGAACTAACTTTACAGTTGTTTGTGATTGTTTCTGTTATGTAATTTGACATTTTGATTTATGCAGAAGTTTTTCTTCAAGTTCTTGTTAACAGTGCTTAGGATTTTTCTTTAGTTAGTAGTTAGTAGTCATGTCACTTCAATTCAAAACACTTTAATACAGTATTTCCCAAACTTTTCTTGGTCGATGTATCTTTTTTCAATAAAAATTATTCCATGGCACCCTAACCTAAGTAAAAGGTATGACTATTCATGTCTTGGTTAAATTAATTTTGAAGCTTTTACAATATTTCAAGGCGCCCCGGTGAAGAGGTCGCTGCTTTCTAGGGCGCCGCAGGGCACAGTTTGAGAATCACTGCTCTAATACATATATGGTGTCAACAATAACTTACTGGCAAACTTTTCCTGCAAAAGCTGCTTGTGTGATGTGAGCAATGAGAGTGAAAGCGCACCTGTATGGAGGGAAAAGGTATGTGTTCATACAACTTCAGATACAGTCCTACATGAGGTGAAAATTGATGGCAAGTGAGCAAGAGCCACAACAGCGATACAGGTGGGGGGATGACATAAAGAGATGGATGAACAGCAGTCTGATATCCAGGCTGAAAGAGAGCACACTAGAGATTCAGTGCAGCCGACCTTCACTGTGGAGAAGACACCTGACTGACTGATAAATACATACAGTCACACATCATCATCCCTGTCCTGTCCTGCCATTGTGTGTCACACAGGGCTCGCAGTCTACCCCTCCTATTCATTCTATCATGTGCAATCCATTGAGTACCTTGGAGGAATACAGTCCTGCACCTCCCCGTGTGGGTTCTGGGGCCTTTTTATAGGGAAAACAAGAATATACCCACTGCCTACCCAAAAGCATGTCGTAAGAATCGACTAACTGGGAGCTTCCTTTGAAATCGAAGTGCATCTGCCTGAGAGGCAAGAAACAAATGAGTCAGATCTGTAAAACAGATACACATGCAACACTCAGGTTCTGGAACAGGACTGCAGTCCAGAAGTGGATGAATAACCAGAACTTTCCGCCAGAGTTTACAGCTGGTGAACGCAAAGAAGAAGAAGAAGAAGAAGAAGAAGAAGAAGAAGAAGAAGAAGAAGAAGAAGACGAAGAAGAAGAAGAAGAAGTCCTGCACCTTTGTCTTCTCAACAATATTTGTTTTTAGGGTTTCTTTTGGACTTCGCTGTTTCCTCAACCCCTTTATTTCTCATTTCAGTGACTGCTTGGTGATTCTGTGCTCGTTTCTTCTCAGGATGTGTCCAGTATAGCGCCATATTGTGTCTTTTAACTGTTGTCACTAGTGGTTGCCCTGATATTTCTCCTAGTCACCACTGAAGAACTAAGAACAACGGTAGACACAGCAATGGTCAATGATTCCACAAAACATCAAACATCTGGTCAGGGTGGAACAAAATCAGTCAGCAGCTAGAGCGTACTACATGAGAACCACAGGCTACAAGTCAAGAGGCTGACCAGGAAAGAAATGGGTGGAGAGAGAGTAAAAGAAACTACAGAAATGCAACGCAACAAGCAAAAGATGGGAAACCAAATCAAACTCCTCTCTGCAGCGCTTTACTGCATAAGCAGTAGGACACAAGAATAAAGAAGATTATTATGGGGCTACATAATGGGTGGGACAAACAGAAACTTGTGATAACCGCAAAGATTTCCACACACACAAAAAAACAGAGGAAGACAGCTAGATACGATTTGTGACAACCTTTTGTCGTCATAAGGAAAGATGTCAAAACATAAACTGTCACATGTGGGCAGAATTCACAAGTTTTGCATAATCGTCACTGCCAGCCAGCAAGGCCATTAATGTTTTTACATAAACTGAGTATGTGTAACCAAAGGAGATAATCTGTTTACATCACCAGTGATCACTGGCATCATGAGAGCTAACAGACTGAAATGGTTGGGGCATATTGAAAGAATGTCTGATGACAGAGAAGTAAAAACTGTGTACACGAAGGAGCTGAATGGTCGTAGACCACGAGGCAGACCAAGAAGACAATGGAGAGATAATGTCCAGACAAACCCGCAAACACTTGGTGTCACCAACTGGAAACAGAAGGCTAATCAAAGAGATGAATGGAAGCGGGCGATATCTGCAGCAATGAACCTCAAGGGCTCAGAATGCCAAAGAAGAAGTAACCAAAGGAGGGATCATGCTCTATGGGAAACACACTATCTCTAGAATACTGCCCAGGTTTTGTGCTATGGAGAGGAGGAACTTCAACTTTGGCCTTAGCTTGTCTTGGAATCACTCGCCAATACCATGGGCTGGGATTCTCATGTCTCCCTGTAGCACAGTTATAGCCTTATTGGTCTGGAAAGACACAAAGTATTAGCCAACAACAAAAACAACACTGATGAGCCCTTGTGTGGGTTCCGGGTGCTCTATTTTTAGGGAAACCACATGAGACCCGCTCCCCACCCCCTCCCCCAACAAGCATGTCATACAATCAAATAGGGTTGTTTCCTTCGAAGTCGGAGTGTATCTGCCTAAGAGGTGAGGGGCCAACATTCTGAATACAAATAAATCAGATCTGTAAAATGCATGTGCGTGGAAAAGTTCTGGAACAAGACCACAAAAGTGCAGAATGGACAAACAATCAGAATTTTGCCGATGGAGTTTACAGCCCCTGAATGCGAAGAAGAGAAACAAGATTGATTGAATTAACAGCTACAAATAAGCGTATAATACTCACAGGTATACACAGGCATTCGGATATGTGGTCCCCATAAACCTTCCATACGTAGCAATAGGTCCCAAGAATGTTGGTATACGGGCTGGAGACAATGTAGATGCCTGGAAATTTATAAAAGAAAGTAGCTGAAAATGGACAATGCTCTTAACTGTGGACTGGATCATTGTGTAAAGTAAAGGACCCTTTCCCATGCCTTTAGGCATATAGGGCATACAGGACTAGACCTATATATTTTATAGACCAATTGTCACAAGATGGGTGATGTGATCAGCATCAAGCCAGCCGCCTTTCCTTTCCAGGACTGCACCTGGTACCCACTCAAGGCTGGGTCTACCTTCGAAAGACTGGCACTTGAGTGAGGTACGTAGTGTCTCCTTATACACATCACATGGGACTTAACTTTCCCTAATGCCTGTGACCGAAATCACCCCGCCAAGGTCATTTTCAACAGTGAGGAGAACCTGCACCGTTTTAATGCACCTTCTTTTTTTTCAGAGCTACCACTTTATGTGGTAGACACTGGAGTCTCTGTATACATTTCATGGTCAAATGGAGCGCGATCAACCACACGACATGTCCCGGCTATCCTCCGACTAACGGCCAGCAAAGATGGCGGCCACAAAATATCCTTTCAAGCCACAGTCGCGTGACTTAATTTGCGGTTTTCCGGCGACTATCGCCACCGCCACGTGTCCCCCACGCGGCGTGGAATGGGGCTAAAATAGATAGCTAGGACCCACGAGCAGCAGCAATGTTCACATTGTCTGTATGCAGAAAAGCCCTAGGTCAGAGTCGGTACACATGAAGCCATAATAAAGTCTTGAAAGAGTAGGCCGACACTGTGGACAAAGGCAGGATGAGGGTCAAGACAAGGGCCAGTTGTTACCCCCTCCCCCAAACGCGCTTCCTCAGCGCTGGGCAGATTTCTAAAGATACATCAAATAAAGTAGCATACCCTCTATCCATACTCGATAGTGTGCAGGACTGGCATTTGACTTGTCTGGTTTTGAAAAGTACCCTGAACAAATCCGAAAGACTGGGCTGAGGTCAGACATGTTGCTGCACTTGGCTGCAAAGCATCAGCTCATCCTGATAGAGCTAAGAATGTCATACAAGACACAAATCGAAGATCAACACTTGCACAAGCTGGAAAAGTAGTGTTCTGATAGCCAGTCTGAGGAGCAATGAAGGTATGCAGTAAAACTCTTCACCATCGAGGTGGGAACAAGAGGGTTAATTTCCATCTCCACATAGAATGTACTGAAGCATCTTGGCTTGCAAGGAAACAAGCATAAACTGGTACTAAAGCAACTGCTGAAAGAGCTTCCAGCTGGCGGTGGAGTGGATGCAACAGAACAACGTGAGCAATAGGCATTAGTTGACTGGTCCGATCCTCTAGTTGAAAATAAGGCTATCCTCCGAAAAACGGCCACATATTATGGCGGCCAAAAAGACACCCTGACAGGGCCACATTAGGTCGTGTGTTGTAAACATTAAAAAACTCAAACTAAAAAATAATGAGGAACAAAAAAAGGAAAAATGACAAAGTCGACTACTTAGTGATAATTGAGGCCTTTATATCTGAAAATAGTTGCACATAGTGCCCGAAAATCTGCTCTTTGTGTCTGTGGCGCCATTGAAACTTGGCTAAAAATATGATCGGTGCCGCATTGGTAGCTCAGTTCTCACTGCGGTGCGGATGGGGGCTAAACTAGAAGGCTGGGACTCATGAGCAAATAAACTAGAGGAAGCTGCAGGAGAAGCGGTAGCTGCTGCTCGTGAGACAGTGAGTCCCAATCATCTAGTTTAGCCCCTCCCCCCATCCGCGACGCACGTAGCAGTGCTTGGGACTATAACCTCAGTAACTGTTGCAATCACCATAACAATAACATCTTGCTGATAAGCGCAGCAGGAGTCATTGCCTGGTGGGGGGGGGGGGTAAGTACCGGCACCCTGTTTTTCAGAAGAAAAAAGCTCTGGCAATTTATTTTTCAGATAAATAAGCCTATACTATAACTATATATATGATTATCATTACATAATGATAACGGAAGTTATAAAACTTAGTATTGAACGACATACACCTAACTCACTATGAGAAGCCCAATGCCGAACACATTAAAAAGCATCCAAAATCTGCTGGGCCAGGCGAAGTATCGTGGGTCATATATCTGTCGCTGTTGTGGTGGAGAAATTTTCTTCTTGGGCCCATCTTTAGATCGTTTCTCTACTGCCATTTGGATCGCAGATGTTCTCTCCAAGGCTGCCAATCAATGGGATTATCTTGAACAACTCAGCTCGATTACTTCCGCCTTTCACTTGTCGTCTATCATCATCATCGTGTGTCGTTTAGGAATTTATCTCTTTGCCTCCAATTTGTTCTTTTTCCTTATACTCAATGAGCATTCTACAGAAAATCAATGCGGGTACATTCGGAAACAGTGGCTCCATCTGATACAGTTTGCAGCATTTCGCAAAATGACATATAATTTTGTCCCAGGGTTTGCTGGTGTGAAAGACAATGAGAGAGCAGACGCTCTGGCTGGCAGTGCTACTATCAGGAATGGGCCACCTACGGACAGAAGACATCATCGCTATACGAGAGACTAAACGCTGTGAGGTTTTCAGTATCGGTTGAAAAAGATTTTTCACTGAACAGACTGCACACACTGTGTGTAGCAGTTGGAGCTGCAAGACGCAGGGGAGGGGGGAGGGGGTGTCTGCAACCGGTAACCCACCGACACACTGTGTTATGGAACTATGCTGATGGGATTAGTGTTTTGTGAATTGACTATGAATCTTTACGAGAAAGATATCTAATTTTTTAAGATAAAATAGGTCAAGCCGCCGTGGTCTAGTCGTAGGTTTGGGTCCTGACAGGGGCCGAATTTTTTTCAAAAACTACCTTGGCTCCCAGGTCGACCCAGCCTTGAGTGGGTACCAGGTATAGTCCTGGGATGTACCAAGTGCCGTTTGGTCTTTAAAACATAGGTCTAGCCCTGTATACACAATATGCCTCAAGGCGGGAAAAAGCACCTTGACTTTACTTTACTAAGATAAAATAGGGACAATGTCTTATTATCTCTAGACTGGTTTAGTGAACGATTTGAAATTATGATTCATTTTTCTTCTTCTTCGTCCTCTATTTGGGTGACCCGAGGACATAAATGTAATCTTGCAATACCTAGCAAGACTAATTTTTTTAAATTTTTGTAAAGAAGAAAAAAGACAAAAGAACAGCATGCAAAAAAAAAATACAGAAAATTAATCTGGTAAGATTTAAATTTCATTTTTACTTTGCGTTAAGCTGCAATAGATATTTTCTGGAACTTGTCTTGATGGTTGGTCAAAAACTGTCTTTACAATCCAACTTTTTATAGTATTTTACCATTTAGGTTGAGAGGCAGATAAATTTCATTGAGTTCTTGACAATAGCAAATTAACGTCGCCTTAGTACAGCAAAGCCTGGCATATGACACCACAACATCTGTTTTGAAAATGGAGGTGGAGGCAGTCACATCAACCTTCTGTTGGCTTGAGAATCAGATGTAAACACAAGTTGTAACTGCAACAGACTCACAGACCATGCTGAGAAATATTAGGCAAAGAGCAGGCAGATAGACTGGCTGGTTCTGCACAACTTAGTGATAAAATGATGCATGACAATCTAGCCCCCCTTCCCCCCCCCCCCCAAGCACAGATAAATCCTCATAGTCTGTGTAGAAGGGTGCTGCGAGGAGTGACCAGGCAATCTGGCAAAGAAAAGGTGAGACAGATATACAATCAGACTGTTACTGGTACTATCAGAATTGAAATTCTGCGCTTACTGCTAAAGATGTGGACGGTATGCTTATGGGAATGTCTGGAGTGCTGTGATGTCTGTTCTTAATTAAACACTTAGGTTAAACACCCAGCCTATGATGGGTGCCAGAAAATGTTTGAGAAGTAAAGGCAGCTACTATGATAATGACAACATCACCCATCAAGTGCTGATTAAAGAAAAAAGTTAGTCGCAGGTCCATTGCAGGAAGTTTTGGCACCAACCCCAGCAATTTTTGGTTCTTAGTGATTTCACTTTGCAATTTTCATCATCATCATCATCCCGTAACACTACGTGTCTTTGGGTCACCAGTTTCTGTTGACTGTCTGATCAGCTCTCTCCACCTTTGGCGGTCAGTTGTGATGGACTTCATGGTTGCATGCTTGAGGCCTGTCCAGCTAGTCAGGTTCTGTATCCAGGTCTTTCTTTGCCTGCCCCTTTTCCTCACTCCCTCTACTGAGCCCTGCAGTATTGTTTTTGAGAGGCCGTTAGATCTTATTACATGTTCCTACCATTGCTTTTTCGCCTTTTCACTTTTCACACAGGTGAGGAGTATTGTCTGGATTTTTTTCCCCCGGGGCACGCTGGTGTGTTGGGAAATGAACAGACGGACAGACTGGCTGGCTCTGCACAACTTAGTGGAATACTGATACATGATAAGGCAGACGTGGTTAGTGCCTTGTGGGAGAGCATCTACAGTTCGGAGGAGCAGATGGTTCACCACAGTCTGGTGAGATTGATGCAGGGGGGAGTGACAAGAGATTCTGGCAGATGCTCGTGGCTCAGAGGAAAGGCGGACGGAGGTTTAATCAGAATGCTACTGGCACCATTAGTATCAGAACTCTTCGTTGGCTGCTGAAGATGGGGACGGAGCGCTCATGGGAATGCCCCGAGTGCTGTGATGTCGGTTCTTGAATCAAACAAAATCAGTTCAAATCAAATCACTGTAGTTAAAAGAGGTTCATAATTGCCAGTGTGCTGCATACTTTTATGGCGAACCTCTTTGTTTGTAATGTGGTCTCTGTATGATAAGTAAACGTTTTTTCTGAAACATCACATTTCTAATGCTTGTATCTTTCTTTCAAGTTCAGCTGTTAAGGTCCATAATTCACAGCCATATGTAAATGTACTAACCGCTAGTGCTCTGAGCAATCGAATCTTAGTTCTGTATGAAATCTTTTTTCTTCTTCTTCTGCCTTTCTATCCCCCAATGGAGCATAGGCCCTCAACCAACTCACGCCAAGTCGTTCTATCCTTCACCATTGCATGGAGCTCTCCTCATGTCTTCCCCATCTTTCTAACTTTATTCTCCTGCTCTCTTCTCCGTGTGTTTTTTGGCTTTCCTTTATACCTATGCCCCATTTAATTCCCTCTATTCTGCGCAAGCACCAGTTAATGAACGTCTGTAATTTATTAGTAATTGCCTTAGTTGTTCTCCAATGAAATCTTTTTGGATCTCCATGTTTGCTGCTTGGCAAGCACTGATGTTGTCTGGGCAATCCCAGGCATAATTTCTGGTATTTCTGCAATTTTATGTTCAGTAATTTGGCATACCTATTTGGGCAGTAATGTAGATAAAGATGGAGGAACTGATGGAGATGTTAAATAAGAATACAAAAGGCAAGAGGAGTTTTCATAGCACTAGTGAATTTGTGGAGGTCAAAAAAAATTAAAAGAAATACTAAACTAAATTTTTTAAAATTCTAATGTCAAATCAGTACTTTTGTATGGGGCGGAAACATGGAGAACAACCAAGGCAATTACTAATAAATTACAGACATTCATTAACTGGTGCCTGCGCAGAATAGAGGGAATTAAATGGTATGAAAGAATAACTAATGTAGAGCTTTGGGAGAGAACTAAACAGGCTCCAGTGTAACAAGAGGTGAGGAAAAGACGCTGGCGCTGGATTGGACATACACTGAGAAAACAGCATAACCAGAATGTCTTTGCATTGGAACCCACAATGGCATAGGAATAAAGGAAGGCCAAAAAACACATGGAGAGGAGAGCTGGAGAATGAAGTTAGAAAGAAGGGTAGGACATGGGGAGAGCTTCAGGTAATGGCGAAGGATAGAACGACTTGGCGTGACTTGGTTGAGGACCTATGCTCCATTGGGGGATAGAAAGGCAGAAGAAGAAGAAGAAGAAGAAGAAGAAGAAGAAAGAATTTGACACAGTTTCCTGAAAGGTCAGCTCACAAAACCAAGGTCAAAACCAACACATGGCAGTCTGCTGCCCAATTGTCTGCCCCTGGGATGAAACTCGACATTTTGGAATTACAAAAGCGTGTTCGCAATGCCTAAGCCACAGATGCCAAACCAAAAACTGCTGATTGATATATATAAAATATAAATCTAGCACCATCTGCCTAATACACAAAAAAGGGGAAACTTTACTTTTGCTCTCTTTTTCTCTCTTCCATGTATTTTTGTTAGGCATCTTTTCTTTTGACCATGAGGGTTCCAGAACCTATGCCAATTGTAAGCATGTGTGGTATAGACATCGAGAGAATGGACATGATGAAATATCTGGGCATGACCATTGACAGACTGGAGAGAAGTGGGTTAAAGAGGCTTTTGCTGGATTCATTTGCGCTATCAGTTCCTAGTGGTGACTGCAATTTAGCTATAAAAATCTAAACAAGATTATAAAAATAAACATATTTCAGCTTTCCCTTCTTGTTCTGCCATATATCTCCCAATGGAGCACAGCCAAATTGCACCAATTCGTCCTAATTCTTTGCTATTATCACATCCAGCTCATCCTGTGTCCTCCATACAATTTTAATTTCACTCTCTAATTTAAATTCTTCATGTATTTTTTTTTAAATCTTTTTTTATTTCTTTGGCCCTGTGGGTTCCACTGTAAAGACTCAAATGAACTGACGTAATCATTTCAGAGTCTTTTTTTTTTTTGTTGTATTGCGTCGTATTTCTCTTTAATGTTCTGCTAAAGAACGCCAATCATCCCAAAGTCCTGTGGGTATCTGCTATATTTAGTCCTGTAAAACTGACAAATACTTTTGGTTTTTTCCCCAATCTTTTTAATTAAAATCAGGTTTTCTCAGTGTGTGCCTTGTCCAACTCCTTAAAAAACATAACTCTTTCTTGTGTCCCTCTGCTTTTGCCACAAAACATCAGAGAGGAGTTATATGCAGTTTCCTGTCTTTTGCTAGTTCTGTAGATTGTGTTAATGTCATTCTGCGTTTCTGTAGTGTTCCTCAACCCACCTCTTTCTTGGTCAGCCTCTTGACTTGGAATCTGCTGTTTTCATTTAGTATTCTATAGCTGCTGGCTGATTTGTTCTTCCATCCTGAACAGATGACCAAACTATTTGATTCTTTGATGTTCTATTAACTCATTTACAGGCACTGAGCCCACCATTGTTTAGAAAATGTAACTGGTACTGCAAAAC